GAGTTCTCGGATTATCTAATTGAACGTCAATTTGGACAGTCGACTGGCGTCAGGAGGACGGGAGGAAGGAGATTTTTGGTAGTGTGAACTGTTTAAGAGCTGGTCCGTTCGTGAAGTATAACTTGATTCTCATCGGATGCAGATGCTTTTTGCCTTTTGGATGTTGCAGAATCCTTTAGAATTTCCAGAATTTGAAGGATCCAAGGGCAACGATTTTGCCGCATAGCTCTTAAATGAGCTGGTCTGGTTTGGTGTTTTCTCGAGTTATTGGGAAAGGGAAAATGCAAAAAAGAGCTTCTTGTATTTCATTGTACTAGTTTCCATTTTTCCTCTTGTTTGAGTTGAATGCAGGCCTTTTTTTTTTCATTCAACTGCCACTTTTTCTTGTGATTTCATTTTATTTGAGAGAAGCAAAAAGAAAGTTAGTTTAACTATTTATTGAAAATCAATATGGCAGTGTACTATAAATTTAAAAGTGCAAAAGATTACGACTCAGTTGCAATTGATGGTCATTTTATATCTGTTGGACTTCTGAAAGAAAAAATATTTGAATCAAAGCATTTGGGCAGGGGTACTGACTTTGACCTCGTTGTCTCGAATGCCCAGACTAATGAAGGTTGGTTTGATTCTCTGGAGATTCATTCAATTTAAAACAATATTTTTAGTGTGATTAATTGTTGATCTTCCTTATTATTTTACTTAAGAAAGTATCTTTATAATAGTCGAGTTTATTAGATTAGAATAGAAAATTGTCATTATATTTGGTTGTAGATGAGGATAAAGTTATCCTCTTGGCTTTTCCTCCCCAAATAAGGATCAGTGAGGTCCTGTTCTTTTATCAAATTTATCACTTGTTTGAGCCCCATTTTATTAAAAATTCATTTTCAACCATGTATTCTCTAATAAAATAATATTACATGTAAATCGAAAACTTTTTCTTAATCAAACACTCTCCAAAAATCACCATTCAAAAATCCATTTTTCTCTCTCAAAATGGGGCTCAAACAACTGCTTAATATGAAAGAACGAGGGAGGTTGTGCATTGGGCATCTATAGTTTGGAACCTGATTTTTTTTTTTACTGGTATTGGTAAAACTACTGGTGTTCTATATTAAATTGACTATGCTTACGCATTAACAAGTGTATAAGTGTTCTATGTGGAAGTTGACTAGATACAATGAGAAGAATGTGAATGTTGTTTCATGTTCGTGCAGAGATTAAATGTGTGATGGGTACACAAACACTTAAAAGATTAGTTACACCTGTCAAGAATGAATGTGCCTTTTGTTTTGGTTCACTTGCCTGAATATTAATTTCTAACTTATGTCATTGACAAAAGTAAACAAAAAGCTCAGGTTTGTCCAAAATAGATGGCTTTAGTACTTGCATCAAGTGTGCGTCTACTCTGTAACATGGCATTGGTTCACAAATACTCTGATACCTTTACTTCCAATAGTTGTGTCCATGGTAATCACGCAAAGTCGATATTTTGGAAGAAATAAATTTTGGGATAAAATTGTACATTTCTGTTGGACCTCATGATTTTTTATATCAGACTAAATTATCTTTGCGTTAATGAGATTGAGATTACTTATATTGCATGTATTAATTCTTATTGCCTGGTTAATGGAGATAAGGATGATGGTTGGAGAATGATGGCAATGACAGTTTATGAGTTTAAGGGGTCCACACCGCACATCACGCATTTTAGGGGATTCAATGTAGTTGTGGTTTTTGGGGGTTGTATGTGTACACTGTTTTGGAGTCTTTTTTAGACATTTTTACTGTTTTGTGATTTCAGAGTACCTTGACGAAGAAATGTTAATTCCAAAAAATACTTCAATCTTAATCCGCCGTGTTCCTGGACGGCCTCGGATGCCCATAGTTACTGCACCAATCACTGCACAAGACGAGTATAGTTTCAATCCTGTTTAACTCAAATATGTAGTTTAAATTTCGTGTCATACATAAAATTTTATTCTTTAAACAGGGGTGAAAATATATATATTCTCAATAAAATGAATGATGGCTCTGGTTTAGCTAGTCACGTTCTTGATAAGCCTACTGAATTAGTCATAGTGGAACCAGTTGGTGGTGCATTAATTAAGACTTAACAGACTATCTGTGGGAAATAAAGGACTGGAAAGAAAATAAACTATCATACTCTTTTGGCCTCCAAAGAAACTATTAATGATTTCTCTGTGATCTATAATGTAGGCCAAGGTTGGAAGATAATTATGTGGGTGTTCATGCTATAAAAAGTAGCTTTGTGGGAGCTGATTCATCTGCCATGGAATATGTAAGCTTCTAATTAGTTATCTATTGAGGAACCTCATTCTGGATAGCAGAAGAATCTGTTTTTAAACATTGTGAAACACTAAATTCACATGCTTGTAGACCCAAGAGGGAGAATGGGATGAATTTGGAAATGATCTATATGCAATACCAGACCCTGTGCCAGTACAATCTAGTAATCCTGTTCAGGATGCTCCTAGTAAAGCTGATGAGGATAGCAAGATCATGGCTTTGATTGACACACCAGCCTTAGACTGGCAGCGGTGAGAAAATTTTTATGTAGTATGTTCTTTTGCAATAACAATGAGGATTCGTTTTCCAGAAGTTGATTGTTTCAGAGGCTTATCACTTGTTGGTTTTTGATTTGCAGGCAATCTTTTGATGGCTTTGGCCCTGGTAGAGGTTTTGGACGGGGCATGGGCGGACGAATGATGGGCGGACGTGGTTTTGGTAATTCTATTTTTCTTTCATTTACTTGAGATGAGAGTACTTTGCTACATGTTTTTTCTGTCTGTTCTTGGAATGGAGGGACTTCCGTAGTTTTTCTATGTTTTTTTGTTAATTTTAACTGTTTTTTGCCCCAAGGAATACTGTAAAAGGAATTGAATGTTCTGAAAAAAAGGATAAGCAGTAATTTTATGAATAACCACAAAATTACATTCTCCTTTAAGATGACCAAAATATTTAAATTGTCCTTATGGTTAGGATTAGTCCTTTCTTTTTTGTACATAGAATTCTAGTCTATTAATGCTTTTGTTGGATCATTAGTTTTCTTGTCTACAAGTATGCTGTAAAAAACTGAAACTCACTTTTTGACCCTCAAGGTCGAGGAGGATTCGAGCGGAAAACACCGCCTCTGGGATACACATGTCACAGGTGCAAGGTGTCTGGTATGTCAATGTACCTGCAAATTATATTGTTTCTTTTTGAACACAAGTATAGGAAAGTTTCTTAGATGGAACAATGCACTGTCAAATGCACACTCGATAAAATTCTTTTATGTAGGGCATTTTATACAGCACTGCCCAACCAATGGAGATCCAAACTATGATGTAAAAAGAGTGAAACCTCCCACTGGAATTCCAAAATCCATGCTAATGGCTACACCTGAAGGTTCATATGCATTACCAAGTGGGGCTGCTGCAGTGTTGAAGCCAAATGAGTAAGCAGTTTCTACAAATCCATATTGACCCAGTTGATATATTTTCTTAAGATTATTGTGTTTTCTTGGATTTGTTGCAGGGATGCCTTTGAAAAAGAAATTGAAGGGATGCCTTCTACGCGTTCTGTTGGTGATCTTCCTCCGGAACTTCATTGCCCTTTATGCAAAGAAGTAATGAAAGATGCTATGCTTACGAGCAAGTGTTGTTTTAGGAGTTTCTGTGATAAATGTAAGCTCGTTGCTTATAGTCATGATATTTTGATGCTCATGCTTGTAGTCCTTTTCTATGCTCTGCGAGTAGACGATTAGATGTTCGCAAGGAGAACTGGAGAGGGGACAATGTGGGCCCTTTTATGTTGATATATTGAGAGTTTTTAATAATTGTTCTTTTCCTTTATGCTGACGGAAGCTATTTTTCTTTTTGGATAATTTCTTTAGGTATAAGAGATTACATCATTTCTAAATCAATGTGCGTTTGTGGTGCCACAAATATCCTTGCGGATGATCTGTTGCCCAACATGACAGTAAGGGATACTATTAATCGAATTCTTGAGTCCAATAACAGCAGTGCTGAAAATGGCGGGAGTAACTTTCAAGTCCAAGGTTTGTAGTGCTAGTGAGTCTTGTATATTTTCACTACAATCGTCATTTTTGTATAACTACCTTTTTGTTTCAGCTATGGAGTCACGCAATCCGCATCATCAGGGTTTATCTCCTACACAATCTGTTGCCTCAAAAGGAGAGCAAGTGATGCCAAGACCACTCCCTCCTCAAAAGGAAGAGATTTCAAAGATAGTAGAGTCTGCTGAAGAGCACAAGGAACTTGTTGCTCCAGACCTGAAAATTGAGAAAGGTAGAACTTCAAAAGTGGCAGATGTTTCAGAAGTTATACACGAGGTTCTAAGTGTTAAAGAACCAGCATCACAAGGAAATGCTCCATTGGCTGATGAAGAAGTGCAGCAGAAACCAATCTCTGGGGATTCAGGTGAATGATGTAAATGCTTATATGTTATATGTGTGTAAACTGTGTCCTACGTGCTGATGCTAGTTTCAAGCTCGTAAAGACCCTCCAAAATCTCTGTATGGTTAAATGTTTCTTTTATTGTTGCTAGTTTACTGACATATTAACTAAGAGGAGTTTCTGGGGTCTTTTCTTGTTAATGCCTCGATCATGTAGTGAGAAATGGTTTTCAGAAGCAAGTCCCACCTCTCCTAATTAATGATCCTATATCTACGAAATCAAATTGGGGTGTTACCTATTTTCCATAACAAGCTTGTTATTCAGCAAT